ATATATATATATATATAAAATGTACATGTATTAGGGATCTGCATCCTAGTTGTTGTGTATGAGCAGTTGGGTTTTTTTGGTTTTGTTTTCCTCAATTTATGTGTTATTGGTGTGTGTGTGTGTGTGTGTGTGTGTGTGTGTGTGTGTGTGTGTGTGTGTGTGTGTGTGTGTGTGTGTTCTGACCACCAGGGAAACATATGTTAACAGGTTTTTTTAGTGCTGTTCCCCAGCTAATGTGTTACTCTGAGAACTTAATTAAGGCGACAGTAAGGAAAGCCATTACAGGTACGCTGTTAGAAATTAACCAGTCAATCTAAGGTTGTCTAAATTGAATTTTTTCAGAAGCGTCCGGTGTTCAACTCATCAAATTTCTTTCTCCTCTTGCTCACCCTGACCCCCTGGGTTCAATTTCGGTGTACACATTTTATATTAGCAAGAATACAAAAGTCAATTAAGAAGGTGCTTTAGACATCCAATTAAAAGTCTTTGGACAATTCCTGCACTTGATTCCTACCTCCTCCACTACTAATAATGAAATAACACTCACATATCCTCCTTTGCTCTTCCCACCTTGTCTAAATAATGAAGAAACTTAAAAACACTCTAGGGTTTTAAATGAAGGCTTTATAAGGTTGCAGAATATTCTTGTAGATGTCCTTTTCTATCTTTTAATTTCTAGTCACACCTTAACGACTAAACTTCAGTGTGTCAATTCAATTGTCATTGGGTTTGGCCATTTAGTTCAAGACTTAACATCCATCCACTCATCCGTCCATCCATTTTCCAATACGCTAATCCTCATAAGGGTCGTGGAAGACTTTAACATTAATGTGTTAATGTGCTCAATTGCCTTGTGTTTCTGTAACCACGGGGATGAGAAACTTGCCTTTTTTTTCTTCTTCTTTTTGCATTTATCTCTCTTGGCGATTGATGGGTGTGGTCAGATCAAGTCTAAATTCCTTGATATTGTCCCTATGAGCGAAGCTGTGGTTTTAATTACCGGGTGGGTCTCTGTGGTAACATAGAAAGGGGCTTTTATTAAATCAACTTAGTGGGTCGACATTTGTTTAAAAGTGTCCAGAGATGAGCTGGTTATATAGCAGAGCACAAGCAATGTTGGCGTTAATCACCGTACAGGTTTATGAGTGAAAGCTACTGTAGGAAAATCCAGCAATGTCTAAAGTTGTTGGCGACAGCATGGGTCACATGGTCGTCGTCTTTGCCAAAAGTTGTGGGTTCCTTCCTGAGACCCCATGACCACGTTTAAATGGTCCTCTTGAGCAGAAAATAAACCTTCAGTTATTCCCTCTGCTGTGTCTAAGGCAGTGTTTTTCAATCTTTTTTGAGCCAAGGCACATTTCTTTTATTGAAAAAAATCCCGTGGCACACCACTACCTGAAAATGTGAAAAAAAGATTCCTTTCACAATTAAAGTGTTATATTGTTTATTATACGCGTTTTTTTTGTTTTGTTTTTGTGTTTTGTTTTTACATTGAAGAATAACACTATATTTTAACACCTTGAATAGGAATGAAATCAACATCAATAGCATATTTTATAATCTTTCATTTTTATTCTCACTCAGTGTGATAAATGGTTTGAATGAACACTGATTTGATATACTGGCAGCAATCGATGCAAGACACACGAAGCTCTTCCTCCACAGCTCTCATTCTTCCTATGTTTTTAGTTTTTACAGCAGTCAGGCTATTTCTTTAACCGCTTGGGGTCTGAACATCTAATTTACAATGGCTTTGCAGGCGGGAAGTATTAATTGCTTTGCCACTGGGACTTTTTTGATTTAGCCACAAGTTCAGCAACATGGTAATTTAACTTTCAAGGCTCTCTCGTTTACCTTTGCGCTTTTTTTCATGCACGTTGCTTGTTTCTCCGTGTGTTCACGCAGGCGGATAAAATACTGTTTCGAAGTGACGGGTGTTTTGTTTGGAGATGGAGTTTAGGTTTACTTGGGACCAGAGCGCTGTTGGAGAGCTTTTCACAGCACACCAAGCACAATGGACTCGGTGCCGTTGCATCTCCGGTAAAAGTAAATCCAAATGAAAGGTAGCTTTCATTGTATTGGCTCGCACCAGAAACTTCACTTGTCTCGAAGCACAAGGCAATTAGCTAGCTGATGCTGCTGTTGCTGGTGAGCAACCTCCAACTGGGTCCCAAAGCGGCTCCTAAAGCCACAGCGACCCGGGTACCTGCAGACCCAGTTGTCGGCTGTTGACTAGGAACTGTTCGTAGCCCGAAGGCACGCCCAACACCGCTTGGAGGTCGTTCCCGAGTTGGGCAGCTGCTGCTGCTGTCTACCAGTATGAAGTACTACACGATTACGCTGCCAGGCGGTAGACCGCACAGGCATACATATTGGTTACTTTCCCACGGCACACCTGACAATGTCACCAGTGTGCCTCGGCACAGGATTTGAAAAACACTGGTCAAAGGTCCAGTCCACACGTTAAAACAATCATGCTTTTTGGCCTCAACTTTGCCCCTGAACGACCAAGAATGTCAAATGCTCAACTATGTTTTGTCTTATAAGAATGTCCTATAAGATTACCTGTCTCTCTGAGGTGCGTTATGAGTTGATATGGACCGATAATAGGGTCCTAAAACCCCGGGGCCAACAAGCCTAAATATTGAGTATGTCCATTGTTTATGACCAAAAGTTTTCACATTTGTGGGGAAAGGTACTACTTTGGAGTCATTTGACTCCTGATGTGGACTGTGATGTGAATGGAATAGAGCGAATCAAAGAAACACCCTGATTGATTAACAAAAAGGCGGTGGCAAATAACGACCTAACCTTTGCGTAAAAAAATAGGTTCCCCAGACGGCAATAAATATTTTCCATACACGGGAGTGTCAGTTCTCTGTTTTTTTTGGTGAGATCATATGTGATCAGGTAAGATTTCTGACTTAAAGTGCTTTGTGTCAAGATTGATGGTGGAACAGAATTTGAATGTGCGTGGTCCTGATGGTGAGAGGCAGGGATGGGCATCTGGCAGCCAGCGGGGCACACTCTGAGTGGCCCTATAATTAATTAAAACAATATTAAAAATTGGGGAGGGAAGACTTTTTTTTTTTCCAAACCTCCAAAAATTATTCAGTAAACACTCGTAAACATTCAATACACGGTACGGTTTCGACAGAAAAATTGGAAAATGGGGGTGTGGGGGCCGGGGGGGGAATCCAGAAAACGAATTGTAAAATTCAAAATATGAATACTGGAAAAAAGGGGGAGGGAAATCAGTGAAGAAGTGAATTCACGAGTGCCAAATTCCGATTATGCAGGGGTTGACTGCAGTTTTAAGTTGTCATATCACAATCACCACTAGATGGCAGACATGTCTTAGTTGCACTAGGTCTTATGTTGCCCTGTAATACAACATGAGTAGGCCTCATAATTCTTTGCGGATTTGTAATGATATGCAGGAGGAACATAATACCTCAATAATGGCAAAAATCTGATTGAGGCTCCTTTTGTGAGTGTGTATAATGTTCAAATTTAAATTGCTTTTGACATACATCTGGTAAGTGCCCCCCCCCCTCCAGTAGCACAGATGAAAAATTGTGGCCCACTGCGCATTTCCAAAGTAAATTGGCCATCCCTGGTGTAAGGTGTTTTTCAGTGGGCCATCACCATTTGCTCTATCAAGAAGAATGTCAATTGGATGGCTGTAATTTTAAATCATTAAAACTTTTTTTAAGAATATGACATGAAGCAAGGGAGACATTTATACCTATAAAATCAAGGAAGCAAAAACAGTTTGGTAAATTACATTTCTTTTTTGGGAAATGTATTTCCTTTTATTGATCAAATTATACATTAATATGTGTGCGCGCGTGTATGAGTGTAGGTGTGTGTGTCCGTGCTTGCTTGAAGATGTGTGCATACACGAGCGACGGAGAGACACAAACACAAAGGGATTGTGTTGTGTGAGCGTTCTTGACAACAACAAAAACACATCTTTGACTCAGTCAATTAGCTGCGCTCTCTAGACAATTCATCTGCCCATTTGACATGGAGATAATTTACAGTGACAATTGCTGGAGTCATTGGCAATCTTTGTGCACGTACGTGGAAGCTGGAGTGTTTCTGTCAGCATGTGATGAGTCTAATGGGCCGTGCAAGTTATTCATATGCATCACAGTGGAAACATGGAGACATTTAGTACAAATGGTCCTGGTGTCGATTTCAAACTAGCAAGCACCCATGCCACCCACTCCTTCCCTTTATTAAAATTGTCATATAAATTCACTGATTAACAAAATTAGTCATGAGTTTGCAATGGACTCGCTGCTCAATGTGACAAGTACGTGTCGTGTGTGACAGACACAGCTTGTCATTTTAATAATAAAATTTCATACAGTTGTCTTTTCTTTTAACTTTAACTTTTTTTTAGAAGCAATTTTGCAAATCAACAATTTAATTTGAGGAGCAATTAATTATTTTGGAGAAGTATTTTTTTTTTTGCAGGTTAATACAAGAAGCAAATGTTTTGAACAAATTCCTTAAGAAGCATTTGTGACTCTCTCCTTAGGATTCTGTCTCTGACTAAAATCTACACAACATTCTCTTTCACTTCCGGGTTGAGTGAACGCTGGCGCGTCTGGCTGTCGCTGCTCACCCGCAATTTTTAGTGTCTTTTACGGTTTATTGTTTACTGTCGTCATAAGAAAACCCTTACTGACAGGTTGTGGTCTGATCGCAGACCAAATGGAGTGTGGATCCCACAAACGCAGACTCAGATAAATGGCGATGACAAAAAGGTTTATTAAGGAAAAGCGAGGGACCGACAAAGTATTCAACAAAAGGTCCTGGCAAAACAGAGAGCCAGAGAAATCGAACGAGAACACAAAGCGCTAGTCAATTACAAGGTTAGAATGATTTTCGAGAACATGATAAAACAAATAGAGGTTAGTACAATAAACAAAACCAACTACGATACCAAGACTAAATACTCACAAACCCGAATGACTATGATGAGGAGGGCGACTAGAAGCATGAACGAGACATAACAAAGCACATGGGCAAAGTGGTGAACAAGAGCAATAGTCCGAAAAGGAAGATGGGTAGTCGGTGTCTTAAGTAGGCCACCCCTAGATTGCCTGATCCAGCACAGGTGCACTGCTGAAAGGTGACGCCCCACACTCCAGCTGGTGCTGAAACACTCAAGGAACAAAACAAAGACAAAGCAAAACATGACACTTACACTCCTATCCCAATCTATTAAGATTTTAAACCGTCAATCATTATACGACTGTTTTCAATCGCGTTGTCACAGCTACCTACCTGTTTGGCTCTCAGACTAGGCCCCGTGTCATCTCCACTCCTCTGTACCCCATGATGAGGGTCAACAGGTCCTATGTCTGCACCATACTATTATGGACCATCATGTCGCTCCTCCATTGACCTGTGGAAGGACTGCTACAGTACTCAGTGGCAGAGCTTCTCAGGCTCCGTTTCCAGTGGTCGGGTTCTCCACCAGCTCTGCACCACTTCCCGGACATCGCTCTTCTTCCTTCCCAGAAATACATCCACTGTGGGTCTCGTCTGGGCTTCCGCCTCAATGGCTCCAAAGGCATCACCTCCTTTTGGCCATCCTCCCGCCGGCCACGCAAAAACACCGGCCGGTCCGCGGACCATAGTGTGTTAGCCAGCCTGGCTAGGTCAGCTAATGGTCCTCGCAACGGCGTCAACTTCGGACTACTCAACGTCCGTTCGCTTACTGGGAAGGGTTATCTTATCCAGGATATCCTCAAAGACCGTAAGCTTGACTTTCTTTGTTTGAATAAGACTTGGCAAATTCCTGGCGACTTTTCCCAGCTTAATGACTCTACTCCCCCGGGATTTGTTTACCTATCCCAGGGGTCAGCAACCCAAAATGTTGAAAGAGCCATATAGGACAAAAAAAACAAAAAACAAATATGTCTGGAGCAGCAAAAAAATAAAAGCCTTATATAAAACTTACAATGAAGGAAACATAAGCTGTATGTATGTAGGAGACTCTACTGTCTCAGAATTGTTTGTTATTCATTCCTTTGTTGTGTGTTCACAAACGCCCCCATAGAATTTATTTTGTGATTTCCTCGCTTTATTTTTTGTTTTGGTGTATTATTTTCGCTTTTCTTAGTGTCAGTGAAGTGATCATGGATTTCCATTTTTCGGAGGCTGTCTTTGAACGCCTCACGAGTTGAAGAGAAGAGAGAGGCACGGAGTCGGAAGTAGACGTGTCTGTTTGTCGAGACTGTTAAAAGCATAAATAAAGTGTACGTTTTAAAAAACCAACACCACAGCTCTCCGTTTTCCGAGCTGCAACATGTATCTACGTATATCTATTTGAGCTCAATTAGCCTACTATCAAAATATTTTTCCAGTTTCAAAATTTCTTTTATAAAGCTCCAGGGAGCCACTAGATGTCGCTAAAGAGCCGCATGCGGCTCTGGAGCCACGTGTTGCCGACCCCCGACCGATCCAAACCCCGCGGCTCGGGTCGCAGAGGTGGTCTCGCGATATTATACCGCGAGAAGTGGAAAATCCTTCCAGTCTCTCTCCCTCCACTCTCCTCATTTGAATGTCTTGCCTGTCAAATTTCCGGACCCACTCCCACGATCATTGCCACAGCCTACCATGCCCCCAAACCTCAATGTGACTTTTTAAATGAATTGTCTGCTGTCCTCACCCATCTCTCCTCTCTATCACCTAATATAATTATTCTGGGGGATTTTAATATACACATGGACAATCCTGCCTTTCCTCTCACCATGGTCTTCACCTCTTCACTTGACAGTTTTGGTTTCCATCAGTTTGCAGACTTCCCCACACACATCAAAGGTCACACCATGGATCAAACCCTGGTCTTAACCCCTCCAACTGTACTGCTAATGAACTTCCTATAACGGACCACTTCCTCATTTCATTTAATGTTACCCTCCGGCTCTCTATCTCCAAATCACCCCGTATCATCTCTTACCATAATATTAAAGACATCAACATTGACTCTCTCGCTTCAAGGATCGCCACCCTGACTCCCGACTCAGAATGCTCTCCTGATGATTTGGTTTCCAGATACAACTCGGGTCTCACCAACATTCTCAATACCCTTTCTCATGTCAAATCCTGCTATGTCTTTTTTACTCGGTCTGCCCCCTGAGTTGAAAGACTCTCCAGAAAAAACTGGTCTCACTGTTCACAAGGACATCTACACAGCTCAACTATCCCATTACAACGACTCCATCTCTCAAGCAACATAACAATACTACTCTGGACTCATCTGTTCTAATCTTGGAAATACGAAGACTCTCTTTTCTCTCTGGAACAAAATCATTCAACCTCGTCTCGCTACCCCACCCCGCCACACACCACACACACCACACACACACACACACACACACACGCACACACACACACACACACACACACGCACACACACACACACACACACACACGCACACACACACACACACACACACACTTTTATTCCTTTGACATCAGCACGCTCTGCTCCTATTTTTCAGTGGAAAAAGTCAATAAAATCCACCAGGATCTGGGCTCCTCTGTATCCCTCCCCTTCTCCGACCTCGCCACCCCTTGTCAACTGTTATCGTCTTTTCAACTCCCCCATTCCTCAATAATCTCAGACTTCATTATCAAATCCAAGACTTCTTCCTGTCAGCTAGACCCCCCTCCCCACAGTCCTGGTCAAATCCTGCTTACCCTCTCTGCTTCCTTTCATCTCAATCATCATTCATTCTTCATTATTCACTGGAATTGTTTGTGTCCCCTTCAAAATTGCAGCTGTCACTCCATTCCCGAACAAAAAAACCCTGGTTCAGATCCCAATGATTTCAATAACCTACACCCCATTTCTCACCTTCCTTTCATCTCCAAAATTCTTGAAAAATTTGTTGCCTCTCAACTTCACTCCCACCTCACTTATAACAATCGCTCCGAACAATTCCAGCCTGGTTTCCGTCCCCGTCATAGTACAGAAACAGCCCTCTTAAAAATCACTAACGATCTTCTCAGGGTAGCAGATTTAATCTCCATCCTGGTCCTCCTCAACCGGAGTGCAGGTTTTGACACCATTTCTCACCCCACCCTCCTTCATAGACTCTCCACCATTGGCATCACCCACACCCCACTATGCTTCACTGGCCACTCTTAGTTCATCCAACTCAACTCCTTCACCTAACAGTCCTTCCCCGTCTCTTCTGGTGTGCCCCAGGGCTCTGTCCTGGGACCCCTCCTTTTCATTACTCCTCTCCAACGAAACCTACATGGGCGAAAATACCCCCTAGTGTGAAAAAAATCTTCATGCATTAACACCATTCCCACTTTCCTGCCCCCCATACGATGAAAAAAAACCCTGTTGCGTTACACGAAATATTTTTCTCTGCTCTTGCCTCGCAACGAGATTCACTACAATGAATTCTAATCCAACAGCGACCTCTACTGCTTTGTTCGGAAACGGCAACAGCAACCACCACACTGGTTTACACATGCGCAGGAGTCTAGGAAGTATTGGTTATTGTTAGTTTCAGATGCAGCAAGAACGTTATATTGCTAAAATGGCTACAAAACGGACCTTTGGATGTCAAGCAGCTAAGACAAGAAGAGCTCTGACGCTGGAAGAGAGAGTAAAAGTGATCAAAATGAAAGACGGAGGAAGCAAAATAAAAGACATTATCCAAGAAATTGATGTAAGTGAATGCTGATCGCAAATTTAGCAATTTCTTTCCCTTTTTTTCTTTCTACACTGACTATATGAAGTGTCAAACAAGTGTATGTGTTAGGGAGGGGCCAGCCAGGCAGCCTCCTCAGCCAGGGTGCTCTGCACCTCACACCTGAGACTCGTCAGCTCATCACCCACCTGTTGCCTATTTGCTCGTTTGGACTGGTACATATTGACTCACAGACCATTCCTCAGTGCAAGTTCGTGCCGTCACCACGCCAGTGGACTTTGTTGCCATTTCCTACAGCTGCTTGTTCCTTGTGTGGACAATTCCTTGTGGACTCCTCGTGCTTCCTCCTGAGTGACTTTGCGAAGACTCTTCGAATAAACTACGCCAAGTGTTGGCTTCAACAATACCTGCCTGTTGTCGTGCTCTTGGGGTCACACCCAAACCCTAACAAATGTGTGTGTGTGTGTGTGTGTGTGTGTGTGTGTGTTTACATCTGAGATCAAATTTGCTATGGTGAAAAACCCCTTGTGAAAATTTTTTTGCTGCAAACATGATTTTGTTGTACAGGAGTTTCACTGTATCTACCTTCTCCCCCTTGGTAATATCTTCCGTAAATTTGGTTTACACTTGAACTGCTTTGCGGATGACACCTAGCTCTACCTCTCAAGCAAACCCGACACCTCCCTCCCACCCTCCTCTCTCTCACTCTGCCTCTCAGAAATCAAATCTTGGTTCACCCATAACTTCCTCAAAGTGAACAGCGATAAAACAGAAATCCTCCCAGTCAGTACCAAATCCACTCTACACAAAGCCGACAGTTTCTCCCTCACATAGCTCCACTGTATCCCCCTCCCTTCAGGTTAAGAGCCTGGGTGTCATCCTCAACAGCTCACTATCTTTCCACTCCCACATCAATAACATAACCCGGTCTGCATATTTCCCCCTACGTAATATCAATCGTCTCTGTCCCTCTCTCACCCCTCACACCACCGCTATCCTTGTCCACAGTCTTGTCACTTCCCGTATTGACTATTGCAATTCACTTCTTTTCGGTGTCCATCACAAATTCCTCCATAAACTTCCAACTGGTTCAGAATTCTTGAGCCCGGATCATCACGAGAACCCCCTCCTTTCATCACATCACCCCCACCCTCTGACAGCTCCACTGGCTCCCTGTCAAACTTAGAATCAACTACAAAATACTTCTCTATACATTTAAAGCCATCCATAACCTTGCCCCCCCCCCCCTTATCTGTCGGACCTTCTTTACATTTCTGTTCCCTCTCCCCTCATCCTCCCTCCACCTCTGTGTACCCTCTGCCCGTCTCAGCACGATGGGGTGCAGAGCGTTCAGCCGCTCTGCTCCCAAACTCTGGAACTCACTTCCACCCAACACCCGAAATATTGATTCTCTTCCCACATTCAAATCCCATCTGAAAACCCACCTATTCAAAATCGCATACTTAGTTTAAATTCATCTCTTTTGTACTATTTGTAATTTTATCTGTGGTTTTACTGTTCTTGTTGCTGATTGTAAAGTGTCCTTGAGTGTTTTGAAAAGCGCTTATAAATAAAATGTCTTATTATTATTATAAAATTGCTTCAGATAATTCCAAATGTGGATTGGCGTTAGGCTTTCGTGGGGTGACCCTGACCTTTCCAATGACAAAGGTACAATGTACTCGATTGCGGCGATTCCATTGTGCCAAGTAAGTCACTGTGCCTTAAGCCCTATTCACTGGCATCACCAAAACGATGAAGCTGAGCAAGGATAGGCTCTCAAAACTGCACGGGCTCAAAACATCTGTCCACTTCTAGCTTGCTGAGCCATTTTAGACTATTGCACCAGAACATCTGGAACTTCGTCATCCGAGCTCAACTTCAGGCTGCGCAGCTCTTGTAAGATCTGTTTTGCAGATTAGAGCCACTGGTGCTAGCATTCCCAGCATGTCGCAGATGGAGCTTACCATGGAAAGCATACTTCTCCCAAGAGATTTGTCTTGAATCGTGATTTTAATTTAAAATTATCAGTCTAGACACAGCATTATACTCCCAGAGCTGTCTCGAAGGGAAGTCAATCATCCATGTCATCCAGGTCTAGATATTCAACTTCTTTCACGCTGTGATTTTCAGGTATGGTTGCCAGCACCACTCAGCTGTTCTGATCCACGTTGTTAGATTGGAGCCCCCTTTTTGACAGACTGCGTTCAGGACGTAGCAAGCAGGTTTAGTTCGCCAACATATGTGATGGTCTCCAACAGTTTTTCTTGTCAACATCAAATTTTCAACATGTTCAACATTTGTTTGTGACAAGAAAAAATATTTGCGACCATGTAAACTGTTTGGGAATGTCAGGTGAGGTCTTTGTAACTGTTTGCAACATTGAAAGAACCCTAACACAAAAAGAAACAACATTCACCGCATGTGTACATACTTGCAAACCTTCGCCACTCAGTCAGATACAGGCTTAGTAGACATTCGTCAGTAAAGTCTGTTTTTATCCTTGTCAAAAGATTTCTTCAAATTGTCTTTGCTTCACAGTATCCTCAGTCTGGTTCCATGCAAATGCAACGTCTTACCAACTCTGTGTGTGTGCTTACTGCTCCAGAATGTTTATATGGTCCTTGTTGTTCTCTTTTACTCTCCACACCATGCTCAAATTACATCACAAAGTGTATATACTGCCAGGGATCGCCCTCCAAGGGATGAAGCTTCAAGTTGCTTCATGAACTAGTTGTAGTATTTTTCTGACTGCTCCAGATGACACTCCCTGTTCAGCATAGGCTGAAAGCATACTGAGTTGCCGTTTTTTTAATCTTTGTATCTGTGCAGGAGCTCTCCACTGCTCCTTCCTGATTGGTGGGCCTCGTCCCCAACTTAGGTGACCAATCGGTGCAGGGGAGAGTGACCCAATTAGTGAATAGTTTCAGGTGTGCCATCATTTGTCAAGATTAACCACCACTTTTTAAAGGTTTTAGTTGTTATCAGTTATCAGGGGCATGTGGGGGAGGGGGCAGGGTGGGGTTGTCATGACCTGTGTTTGTCAAGCCCTATCCTTCATGTGTCTTTTGGTACCACTGTCTTTCAAAATTTTATTCTTCACCATAGCCATTATCCATTCATTTGTTTCACCACGTTAGTCTTTCGTGTGTTCGGAAATTTTGCCAAAACTCGTTTTGGTTCATTCATTTCACCACGAACACATCAGTGGTGCACTAAAAAAGTGGGATTCGGGAGTGTTTACTCCAAATTCATCATGTTCTGTTGTATGCCCCCTGTTAAGTTGTTCCCCCTCATGAGTACTTATTTGTGTTTGAAAGTCCAAACCATGTCAGCGCACCACTTAAAAAGAAAAAAAGTTGGGATGTATATATATAATATATATATATATAAGGGGAGTTTGAAGGAACTAACAACGATTAATAAAGGCAATTCTAAACATTTTGGGCAGTTTGGACAGCATCAATTACTTGCAGCTTTTCACAGGTAGCAGTGGATCTTGACTTGCTCTCATCTGTGTGGAACATGGTCCACTCAGACTGAATGTCCTCCTGCCTCTCCCAGTACTTGGGTGAAGTTCTGCCAAAAGTGGAAATTGAAGCACCTTCTGATCGGATTCTGCGAGATGCACAAAGGACAATTCGAAGAGAACCGTTCTTCCCTCCTGATGAACTCATAAATACTCAAAAAGAACCTTCTACTGATTGGAGTTGAGAGGAGCTCCTCCTGATAAACTCTTTGGGCTTTCTCCAAATTGGATATGAACTGAAAGGAACTATCAGTTGTTCCTTTGTCAGGCTTTCAAACTGCAAGCGATACGGAGCGGAGGCGATCACAACCCACCTCCCATGGCTTGCTGGTGGACACGGATCGACACTGGCCAGTAAGCCTTTCCCACTGCCCAAAAATGCATGTTTACCTGTGGTTTTGCGGTAGTGGGAAAGGGGTATTGGAAAATAATTTGAACCTTGTGGAGTCACTATGGTGTTTGCTGTGGTGTCATAACAGCGTCATCCCAGGCCTTTTGTCTGTCATCATAAAGTCTGAAAAGGATACAGATACAATGAAGACTGACAAGAAAACCCCCCACAATGGCAAATCAACAAGTATTGTCAACAGAGAAAGCCTCAGAGGTTGTGCAGGAACAATGACAAGAATGGACAATGAACTCAAGATAGGATAAAGATTGAACTCTCTCAAGAGCTCCCAAATTCAGGAATTTAACATCACTAAAGTCCATATCGGAATCTCTGTCCATCCAATTGAGTATTTCTAGAGTTCTTAGACAAACATCAGAGTACTTGGACTTGGCCACCAGTGATATTTGGTAATGCGTTACCAAATTTACATGTTACTCCAAAATGTGCGTCGTTTCAAGTAACATAATCTCACGTGTTACTTTTGCCAGCCAAGTAATATGGATGTAATTCTCCTTCTACTATAATTAAACGTTAGTCTGCAGAACATTCATGCATATAACATCAGTATTTGAGAGAGTGGCATATTGCATTACGACAGGCCGTAGCACTTCAATGCCTGCTAAGGCAGGAGAAAGAGACAACACCTAAACAGCACACTCTTCTCACCCACACTGCCTCCCTCACACATGTATTAATGAACCTGATTTCTTTACTACACTATAGCACTCACTAAAGTCATCAACTAAATAACCATACATTATAGAGCAGGTGAGAAAGGGAAACTCATGTATTTACAGCTTGAACATGGTAAAAGGCATGGTGGGAGCATTCACGTTCACATTACAGAGGAAATGATATTATCGTTTTCAGCGCATTCACTGTCAATGAGGGAAGGAGTAGGAGGGATTTGTGTTTTGAAGCTTGAAGTAAGACACTGTTTTGAGTTTGTGTCAGCTAAAAACAAAAATATTAGTTTATTGCACACCTAGCTGTCTCAAAGAGGTTACATACCTTAAAGTTTCAATAACACTACACGGAAAGAAAAAAAAACATGTATTGCAACGCAGTGTGCAGTCAAGTTTAAAGAGGAAGTCACATCAGATGTGTGGGTGCAGATGGCCCTCAAATATAATCGTTATATTAAATATGTGAAGTGAAAAATACTAACGTTACTTTAGATTTTCTTAAAATGTATTTATGTGGGGTGGTCCGGTGGGCGACTGGTTAGTGTGTCTACCTCACAGTGCAGAGGTGTAGGGTTTAATTCCGGCTCCGGGCTTCCTGTGTGGAGTTTGGATGTTCTCCCCGTGCCTGTGTGGATTTTCTCCCGGTACTCCGGTTTCCTCCCACATTCCAAAAACATGCATGACAGGTTAATGGAACACTCTAAATTGTCCCTAGGTATATGAGTGTGAGCGCGGATGGCTGTTCGTCTATGTGTGCCCTGCAATTGGCTGGCACCCGATTCAGGGTGTCTCCCGCCTACTGCCCTAAGACAGCTGGGATAGGCTCCAGCACACCCCGCGACCCTTATGAGGATAAGCAGATCAGAAATTGGATGGATGGATTTATGTTAAGTAAATTCTAGAAAGACTGTCTTGTATTGATGGGGAATCGAAACTTCAAGATACTTCAGGTGTACTTTTTTACTCCTCCAGATGGTGGTGTTGGTTTAACCCAAACACAAAAA